TTGCTCTATTGTCTTACAAAATGTTATAAAGGATTGATAAGCCCCGGTCTTTGGGTGCCTTGGAATGAACTTTGAATTCATTATGTAATCAAAGATTATAAAACGATGATTAAAGTTAAAAAAAAAACTATTCAATAGGGAATAATAACTTTAAAAAAAATATAGTGACAGTTTTAGATTTACAGTCATATTCCATGTCCATCATTAATTCAGAAAATTTTATTCGTATATAAATGTTAGCGTTAATGTGTATACCGTAATGTGTTATTTTTTACGTTTAAATCATTTTTTTTTGAGCGTGTTTTTAAAAAATTTTAAAAAAAACTGATTTTACTGGAAAAATATGCCGCCATGTTTGTTCGCTATGAATTTCAGACAATTTTTCCACGAACTTTAAAAATTTGGTATAATATATATTCGATTTCCCATATAATTTTTTTAATATTAATTACAAATAACTCAATAAGGTTAACAGCAAAATTTTCTATAATTTATAAGATAAGTATTCGAAACATTGATAGAATATACTTCTGGTATAATTAGATTTTTAAATTTACGCTCAAAAAATGATTTATAAATTGTAAAAATCTAACATGTATAAATTAAATATCTTATAATACAATTTAAATAATACCTAATATATCTGGGCTGGCAAAGCACTCGCCAAAACTACTCGTAAAAATCGCATTTTATTTTAGTGAAAATTTGAGAATTTTTTTTTTTGCCAAAAATGTCTAATAATTTATTTTTAGATTTCATTTATTTAGAGTCTTCATGATATTCGGACAGGAATTCTTGGCATAGTAAGAATGATATTTCCAGATCTCTTGCTAAATTTATATTGTATGGTATTTAGAAAATGATCTGCATCCTCATACTGTGGAACTCGAGAAAATGCAAAGAAACATGTTTTTTTCTACGTTTGTAGATCTTGGTCTTCCTCTTGATTATTAGGTTGTGCAAGATATGTGTGGTGCAGTGAATATGGGAGGAGTATACCAAGAAATGCAGACTTTAATATTGAAAGAGGTTCCAGAAGTCATCTAAATTTGATGCCATGCACATGGGTTAAATTTGGTGGATAAAAAAAAATGAAATAGATACAAGGAATTTTTAAAATATTATTTTACTAGCTCTATTACTACAAATAAAAAATATTGCATATTATTATATAATTTAGTTTTTAATTGCATCTCCTCAATAATAATAACATTTATATACTGCTATCCCGTCTAGTATTTTTTTTTTATAAGAAAAATCATCAAAAATATGTCTAAAAGAATTTTTAATAGCGTTATCATTTATTCCAAAAAAAATTATTTAAAGTAAGGCGCTTTTTTGATCTAGCTAAAGTTGAAGTCTGCATTGGGCGGTTTTTTTGGACCATACCCTGCCACCCAATGTTTTAATCCCGCCCAGCCGGTTCATTGTTTTCAAAAATAAATATATCAGTCTGCCAGCCCACTTACTCAAGCCCGCTAATATAAAATTTAATTATAGCCATTCTTTCAATTTTTTAAGCATCTAATGAATAAATAAAAATTCAGCATTACAACTCTACAAAAAGAGTTTTTAGGAAATTACTATATTAAGCATAAAAAAAAATATTCAAATTTAAATTATTATTTATGAAAATAATATAAATAAAAAATTGATATTATATGTAATTAATAATGCAAAAAATAATAATGAATAGACATTCTCTGGAGTCAAACATGTTCTTCTCTGTTCTAAAAAACCTTTCAGCAATGCTAAATCCTCGTTCAGAAAAAGCACTAGTTGCAGGAATTTCCAATATTTTTCTTGCTAATCTTGATAGCTTTGACAAATCTCTTTCTTGTCGTTTCCACCAAAGTAGTTTTTAAATATACAAAAAAAGTTTATTTATTTTAAGATAGAAGTATCTTATGATACCAAAAAAGGACATTTTATTTTTTAATATCCAAAAATAGGAACAATTTTTTTATTAATATTTACTTAGCAGACCCACCCGCCCATATCGCCCCCTGCTCGTTCTTAAAATTTTTTTAACCTGCCCACATGCTAACCCACTTACATAGGCGGGCATGAACGGGCAGGCCGAAACCCCACCTAATGCAGACCTCTAAGCTAGAGTCAGTCTAAAATTATAATAGTAATTAGTTAGAATAAAAATTATATAGGGGTTAGGGTGGGTTAAATGGCAATGTTTGCTGACTGTCAGGCCACCATCCCGTAAATTTTTATCCAGAGAACCAATTTCTTTCAAAATGGTTAAAATGTGAAAGGATTTGAAAATAGTAATTTTTAGCATGTTTTGATAAAGTTTTTAAATATACAGCTCTTTATTGCTCAATTTACAAGCTTTTATAAATATCATATTGCAGCTCTTTATTGTTCAATTTACAAGCTTTTATAAATATCATATTGCAGCTCTTTATTATCAATTAAGCTATATTACAGTAAAATTATATTTATTTTATGTTTAAATATCTTATTTTGCAGCTCTTTGTTGCTCAATTTACAAGCTTTTATAAATATCATATTGCGATGAGTGATTATACAATATCATTATGAGCCTGATGACAAAATGAAAATTTAATAATAATTTATTGTGATTTTTAATTTAGAATATAATTCTTGAATAATATCTTATTAGACTGTACCAGAAAATGAACTTTCTTATAAACTCATTTAGATCAAAAACTATTATATATACAGTTTTGATTCAAATTTTATTTTAAAGACTAAGGATTGGGCTACACATAAATTTGTTGGATATATTACTTTTAAATGTTACCTCGTTGAAGCTACTAGTCTTGCTTGATGATAAAACCTTCCGGCACATCTTACAATTAAATTTATACCCTGTATTAATTTTTTTTATATAGATTAAAATATTTTGCGAATTCAGGAAAAGTCCATACTATCATTATTTTCCAGGGCTTTGTCGATATGATCTGTACCAAAATTATGTTCAATATTAATCTCTATCGTCGACATATTTTAGAAACTAGATTTATAATGCAGATTTTCAAATATATCCAAAAATTAAATTAAATAAAAAGATTATGTATTAAAAATTCATTTAAAATAATTTTAAATTTTTATGTGTATTAATTATCAAGCTACCGTTATTTTTTTTAAAGTAGCGCGCTACCGCTACTGAAAAACGGGTTGCTCTACTTTAACAACACTGATTATCGCCAACAAAAAAATTAATTGATTTTTCTAGATTAAATAGACCAGAAAAAATGTAAATAAAATCTTGTTGTGAGGTTATAAATATTAGCATATTATAAAATTCTTTTAATAATAACACTATAGAATTGCGGTTTGGCGAATTAGGGGGGTAGGGGTGATTTTTAAAGGGAATTTGCCTCCAGCAAATTATCTGCCATCTAGGCGATGAATCTATTTATATATATATTTTTGATGAGCTACGCCCACCATACTTTCCTTATTCCCATAATTGTCTGGCTTTAGTCTTATAATCTTAAATTAGATTTAATAAAAAATGCCCTTTACTCTCAATTATATAACTTAACAATCCAAAATAATTCCTCCTAATAATATTAAATAAAAACCATTGACCATTAACGAAGATCCATATTTATTCATAATTATATTTATCAGAAGATTTCATATTTATAAAAATAGTTGAATCTTCTCCATTCTTTGTTCTTCCCAGCTGACATCTTCTCCAATTAATCCAATATCTTCACTCCAAATATCAAACAAAGGACTCTTTAAATACCAACCATATGATGATCACGTTTTTTCTCCATCTCCCAGGAAAACTCAATTCCCCTGTCAGAAAATAACTGACATTTGATGTATTAAATTAAATTTGTTTCTTATTTTTTTCAACAGCTACAACATTTAGGTCAAATTTATGTCCCTAGATTTATTACTTTGCTATAATTAATTTATATTTACATGTTTTCTTAAAATATCTAATACAAATATAGAATCAAACTCAAATGCTTTACACTCATATCCAGTAAAAAAAACTAAATGGCCCCAGTAATCATAAAAAATTATAAAATTCCTTTTATTTTGCTTTTTTTTAAATTAAATAGAACATTAGATTAATTGAAGCACAACGCGTAAAAATAAATACATATCGAATTTATACAACCTTAATCTTACCTATCGAAAAACTAAATATATCATAATTTATTTTCTTTATAAGCATGATAAAAATAACATATAATTTGTGTAATATTAAAAATAGAAAATAAGAACTAGATAAGTTAAGTTATAAAAATGAGACAACGAAATTGTAATTTGAATACATAAATGTTGAGGTTGTATATAAAATATATCAAATAATAAAATCTGAATATAAAATATAATCTTATATATTCGATTTTATTTCACTTTGATGGGTAGTATAGTATCTAATAAAATAATAATTTACAAAATAATTATAAATAGATCATATATCACTTTTTTAATATAATAATATATTTTTTCATTTTTGCTTAAGGCGAGAGGAAGAAAATTTTATTTATAAAATGATTGTCACAAAGAAAATAATGTTTATTTAAATAAGCCCTTATTTAATTAGTGCAAATTATTTAAAAATTGGGTGCTAATCCTTTTCAATAATAGGTGCTTATTTATTTATTGGTGCAATTTCTTAAAAGGGGATGCTTTAATATCCTAGCACCTAACTAGCGGGGCCCCTTATATTAGTTATAATTAGGAATATTTCTATTTTACGTATCATTGAATAAGTTAAAAATTAATCAGATCATATTTGATCAATTAAAAAAGAGTTATTGCTACAACAACCAATTTTAAAAATACATAAAATTCAAGCTAAAAATCTATATAATACAAGTAAAAAATAGTCGTCAAATGTAAATTAAATGTCATTTAAGAGTCACTTTCTAAATTTCTTATTGATATGTAAATCAAGAAAATTTGAAATTTTATTTATGGATGAGGAACATAAACTTATTATTAGAAAAAATACCTTAAATATAATTAAACATATTGATCTTAAAACCATAATGCCAATTCTCCTAGCTTCAAAAGTTTTTAATGAACATATGATTGAAAAAATTTATCATAGTGGCCCTCCTTATCTACAAAAATTTCAATTCATTTTGGACATTCAGAAACGTGGTCCTTTAGCATTTAAATGTTTTATTGATGCATTATTTATCACTGGACAATATACTCTTAAAAATATTTTACTGCCTCACGAAATTCAATTACTAAGTAATCATCAAACTAATGATACCACTAAATTGAATTCATTATCATTATATATGGAAAAAGATTGTGGAATATTGGATATACATATCAAAAATTCAGAAGTGTTGTTTGGACAAGATATGTATGATATGAGAGTTAAAAATAAAGGATTGGCTATTATAATAAACAATGAGAATTTTGAATATAATACTAATTTAGCTCCGAGAAAAGGAACAGCAAATGATTGTGCAAATTTAAAAAATTTGTTTCAAAAATTGGGCTATACAGTCATAGTTAAATGTGACTTAACTAAATTAAAAATGAAGGAGGAACTTGATGAATTTTCAAATCGCAAGGATCACACCTCTTCTTGCATAATCTCAATATTAAGCCATGGAATGAATGATAAAATATATGGAATTGATGGCCAATTATTATCATTAGATCATATTTCAACATTCTTTGATGGCAAGGCTTGCCCCTTATTAATTAATAAACCTAAAATTTTTATTTTGCAAGCCTGTCGAGGGGATGAAAGAGATAAAGGATTTTTTCATACCCAATTTTATAAAAAAATAATTGAGGATGATCAGACTGATTCAATGGAGATGCAGAGTAAATATCCTGGTGGCATGGATATGATTTTTGCTTACGCCACTCTTCCTGGATTTGTATCTTGGAGAGATGGGGTTTTAGGTACTTGGTTTGTTAGAGCAATTGTTAAGGTGTTTTCAGAACATTCTCATGAACATGACATATTAGATATGCTGACAAAAGTCAATAAAGTTATCATCCATAATTACGAATCAAAATCAGGCCACAAAATGATGTCAGAATTTACCTCTAGATTATCCAAAAAATTTTATTTTAGTAATATATAAAAAAAAAATTCTGAACAATTTACTCATATTGATTTATTGCTCATTTTTAATATAGTATTATTTATATTGAAATTTTATAATTAATATTTATTTAATAAAAACATTGCTCAAATCATAAAAAAAATTATAATCAATATATCATATAGACAAGGCATAATGTTATTCTTAGCACATTTAAAAAGAATAAGAGTCTAGATGGGCTACCCTCAGATCCCAATTTATATGCTATAAGTAAAATTTATTTATAGCTTTCAAAACAAAACATATATATTAAACAATCCGATAGTGACTAACTCTTATTTTACAAATTTTATGACAGCTTTTCTATAGGGAGTCAAACAATAGGCCTCCTAAAGGAAGGGATTGCCAGCATTGCCAATCTCACCCCCTCCCCTCATAAACTACCAAATCAAAATTTCTTTTCCACATATATAGTTTACTTCCTTTACCCATATTTTAAAGATTTTTACCGCCAAAACTTTAAAAGCCAATATCTCAAAAACGATAATGGTACACAAATCCAGTTTTAAAACGATATATATCGATTCCTTTTTTAGATTTGAAAAATGTTCAATATGGCGGTATTGGAGTTTAAATTCGCGCTATAAATTTAAGTTGGATGGAAATTTGATTTCATAAATATATAATGGAGATAAATATTATTTCGTAATATCATTGGGAAGAAGAAAAAAAGTTAGCTATCGTTATACGTTATAAAATTTTAAAATGGATTGAATTTAAGGCGTTTATATTTTTGGCGCCAAAACTATTATAACAGTGGTAATGCTATAAATCAAAAATAAAACGTTACAAATCATTCTCTATCGACCTAAATGCTTTTATTTCTAAATTCAAAAAGTTGGGGAGCGACGTTGGCTGCCATTTTGCTCTTTGAATATCTCTAAAACGGTGATGGTACAAATCGAACTAAAATACGGTGCAAATCCGTCCAAACGATAAACAATTAAAAATCTAAAAATGGAGGGCAACTTATCATTGAACAAACTTTTTAGATTTAGTCTCACCTGTCACGACCTAAACCCAAATATCAAGATTATACCTAAAACGAATTATTCGTTATTCGATTTGTATTTTACGGATAATAAAATTATTCTGAGAATAAGGATTATCCGTTATGTGATTAAAGCTTATTCATAAATATTTAAAAAATATTTGTATGTATTCAAAACATGTTTCTTACAAGACATTATTTTTTTTTAACTTTGTCTCTTTTTTCTAGTGATATGCATCGGGCCTAATTTTTCAAGCCCGGCCCGAAATTTTTCTTAAAAGAATTTCCCGGCCCGGCCCGAATTTATTTAAATATAGAAATTAATTTTAATAATTATTCAAAATAAAAGACACATGTTACTTATATGTCGTTTAGTTTCAATAAATATAATCAAATATATTCTATTTAACATAAAAAAATTCATTAATTTTAAAAAAAATTCCAAAGTCCGACCCACCGCGATTTTTATTTAAAATATTAGGCCCGGCCCGAACCCGATTATTTTAAATATAATTAGGCCCGAGTCCGGCCCGAAGCTTGTTCGGGCCGGGAACGGACCGGGCCTAACTTTGTTTTTTCCCTAAAATTTTAAATATGTTTAATAAAAAAAAGATTTTTATAAGTAAAAAACCTTTTATAATTTTCGTAGATCTTTCGAGATGATATCATAATTTTTTTAAATTTTTGAAAATATTTTTATATAAAACTTAATTTTCTTATGATAACAAAAAGTAATTACGATTCATGCAAATTATTGGATTTGAATACGAATAATGCTAATATTCGATTCGTATTTTTGTAGCTATAATCAAGGGAGACAAGGAGATGATGGAGTTTTTTTTTTTTTATTAGCTTCTATTTGATATCTAATTTTCTTACAAAGAAATTAAGATGAATTCGCCAAATTTATTCAATCATATTTATTAAATAATTATTATTTTTTTATACATTTGATATAATTCTATAACGAATGGCACATCGCACGATGAGACCGCTTTCCCAATCAAAATGGATTTGTAGATATTTGATTGAATTGACCAAAATATTTCTATCCCTAGTTACAATTTCTGCCTTAGCTTGTTATTTTTAAAATTTTTGACGGGAGTATAGTTTCACAAAAAAAAAAGTTTTCATAGTTTAAGGCTAGTCTGTCTAAGCCACGTGATTATGACAAGAAATAGATAAGTGGAAACTAACAACTTGATCAATGGAAGAAAAAATAAAATTATAAATGTTATCAAAAATATTGAAATTTTTATATGAATAATTTTTCGGAATTATATTATAAGTAATTAATCCAGGATATTATGATTATTTTCTGAGATATGTTTGTTGATGTTGAGATGTCATCATTCTAATATTCGGAAGAAAAATCGAATAAGATATTCCTCCCTCGACAAATACTGCAGATAGGAAACCCTAAAATGCCTGTATGCCAACCTCATGGAATTTTCCATCCTAAGCTTATCATTATTTTCTATTTGGAATATGGTGAAAAAAATATTTTTTTTCAGGTCAGAATTTTTGGTTCCACGTCAATTCGGCGCACGACAATTCGGCGCAGAAAATTCGGCGCGGCGTCAATTCGGCGCATCGTCAATTCAGCGCGGCGACAACTCGGCGCGGCGTCAATTCGGCGCATCGTCAATTCAGCGCGGCGACAACTCGGCGCAACGTTAATTCAGCGCGGCGACAACTCGGCGCAACGTTAATTCAGCGCGGCGACAACTCGGCGCAACGTCAATTCGGCGCGGCGACAATTCGGCGCAACTTCAATTCAGTGCAACGTCAATTCAGCGCGGCGTCAATTCGGCGCGTATCTAATACAGTTGCAATTTATTATAAATTTATTAGCATAAAAAAAGGATGATTAAATAGAAATGATTTTGAATGTTGGTCATATTAATTATTTCTTCGTATTTTTTTTTACAAAAATCTCAATTTTATTTACTAAATGTGTAATATCAATAAAATAAATTAACAACCAATATTTATACCGATTTCCTTGCTGGAACATTATAAGGTAGGGGAGACTGGGGTCAGTCGGACCGATTTTTATAAAATTGGCTATAGCTCCTGGTTTTTTAGATATTATAAAAAAAATATATGATTAGATGCCTAAAACTATACTCTATAAAAATTCCTTATAAAAAATTTTAAGAATATAATCATTTTTTTTTGAATTTTACTTTTTGTAAAAGAACAATTTTGTCCAACAAGCCCCAATAGCGGGTAAATTAAGGAAAGTTATATATAAAAATTGAAACTTAATTTTGGTTAATTTAATAAACATTTTGTATTTTTTTCATTATTAACTGCCATAATTGACGTGTATGGTTTAGCAAGCCCTGCTAATTTCTGGATATAATAAATACTCATAAAACTTTCCCAAATTATAAAAACTTCATCAATATTTTATTTCTTAAATAAAATTTTTAATAATTATTTCAAAAGATTTTTTGTCTAAAGACGTAAACTAATAAAAACTATATTATGATAAAATTTTAACCATCTGGTGTATTTAATTTTAAGATGAGATTTAGTGGTTTGCCAAGCCCCGGTACCTAACCCCAATCTCCCCTATTTTGATTAGTAGCCAATATTATGTAAGCGAGATTTTGCGCTAAATGTAAGAAAAGTTTGGACTTCTATCTCTAATCTTACATGTTATTATGGCTAAAATCTTAATCGACCCAAATCGGACGTTTAACAACACTAATGTTGATCCAATAAAATTCAAATTAAGACTGATTCATTTTTTAGATTTATTAAAAATCCTTAAAATAATTCTATTAATCATTTTAAATATATATTATGTTTATCTATTTTTTTCTATTATAAAATAATCAAAAACGAATTAACGCACAATTTTTTTATTTATATATAAAATGACTATAGAAAATACAAATATACTATATAAAACATGCCAAAAATATGTTTAAAAAACATTAATTTGTTTGTAAATTAAAATTATATGCGATCCCTCTTAAATAATCATTAATCGGGCGATTTACATAGTCAGATACAATTAATATAATATTTTCAGCTGTATCCCGATACACCTTTCTTGATCTCGGGGGTTGCGTACCAGAAATATATTGTTCAATTTTTGCTTCGGTTAACGATTGTTCTAAACGTAGAGCATCTAAAAATTTCCAAATAGAGGGATGGTGCGATGATAGCAGAGATGAGAATGCTCTGTGCCAACCTTTAGAAAATAATTGCAAAGTAAATTATAAAAAATATTGTGTAATAATGATTAAAAAGATAGCAAATTTTTAAAAAAAATTACCTTCAACTGCATTATTTGTCTTTGGGATTCCCTGCAATGTAGCAGCGTATTGATTCCAAAGGGGAATTGGAAACCTTGGTTCTTGTCTATCTCCATTACGAAGAATCTTGCCAATCCAGGTGGCTTCGTAATATGTTATAAGTTTGTCCAAGACACTTTCATTGTCTTGATAGAATTGTGTGTGTAATAGCCCATAAAAGGCATCAAACACGTCCTCCACGGGAACAAATGCAAGTGACACCATTTGTCTAATTTTTATAGACCAATCACTTCCCGCATCTCTATCTAAATAATGAGATAATAATTCGCTATCACTTTGGATGTGCCTCCAAATTGCTTGAGTCATATGAAAAAAACAGCCTCTTATTGTTATCGATGGAAATGAATGTGTAAAGGCATTTATTTCAGCCTGCTCAAAATCGATCATTACCGATATAGGATTTACATTGTTTTGTAATCTTTTTATCTCACCCAAGACCCTTATGTATGTAATCTGGGTTTTATTCGGTAATAGCGCAAAAATTGTGGGTATAACTGTTTTATTATATAGGACATGGAGGGTCCAAAGTTGGTAAAAAATTAAGGGGGTTGTCTTAAACGTGCCATTTGCATACCAGTGACTGCTTTTCGCCATCAATCTAAGGTTTTGGGCCGTGGCGAATATCAAAATTCTTGGTAGCTCCGGTAGCAGATGCTTGCTATCATATTGAAGGAATGGCAACCCCGAACATGTTTTTCTATAGATATCAGGTAAATCTAGATCATAACTGTTTGTCGGGGTAGGTAATGGAGAACCCATGAGCGATCTAGCTCGCTGGATGGTTCGTTTTATTGACGTGATGGGCGGAAGGGCAGCATGAAGGGATGGGGAACCCTCTGTTATTGCAATGCTTATAATTTTTTGAGGTGTATCAGTCACCTCAATAGCCCGTTTTTTAATGTTATTTAGGCATTCGGTTTTTAAGACCTCTATACCATCTATCACATGATTATGATTATCAATATGAAGAATTACCTCTTCATTTAATGTGTGGCATCGTCCTTTGCAACGGGTAGGTCTACCTTCCAATAATTTATAAGCCTCTACACATTTCCATATTGTTTTTTGATTTATAATTCTTTCTTTCCTGAATATGTATTGATCATGAACTAATTGTTTTGATCCACGTTCACTTATGACATAATTTAAAGGCATTCTTAAAAATAAAAGTAAACTATAAAATAAAAAATTATAAATGATATACAAAAATAAGATTATTAATATTTACCTTTAAATAGGAATTCTCAATTTACAATGATAAAATTATGGAAAATAAAGATTAAATTACGGAAGGAAATGAAAAATATTAAAGTTTTTTTACAGACTTTTAAAATGAAAAAAAAGAACAAAATTTTAAGATAAATAATTCTATTTATTAATTTGTTGTTCTAAAGTTAGGCCGAGAAAAAAAGAAAAAGGAGATTTGGATTTTATGTTTAATTTAGATTATAAAATTTATTGAGAAAAATAACGATTGAATTCTATAAAATTATTGAACAAAAGGAATAAATCCGAAAATAAAATATATATTAATTTATTAGAGGAGAGAAGAAGGGAATTAAGATTTAACATAATTTTGAATCCGAAAATAAAATATATATTTATATATTAGAGGAGAGAAGAAGGGGAATTAAGAGTTAACATAATTTTGAATCCGAAAATAAAATATATATTTATATATTTTTGTTGTCTAAAAATAGGAGGGAAAAAGGGGAATTAAGATTTAACATAATTTTGAATCTAGGACGGAAAAAAAATCACCGGAAGATTAATCCCCGTAAAAAAAATCCCATGAAAAAAAATTCCCGGAAAAATAATCCCCTAATTTTTGATCCATATAAAATATTAAATTATTTTTAGAAAATTAACAAAATAGGAAAAAAAATCGCCAAAAAAAATCTTCGGAAAGAAATAATTATTAAAAATTTTATTTAAGAAATAAAATATTGATGAAGTTTTTATAATTTGGGAAAGTTTTATGAGTATTTATTATATCCAGAAATTTAGAGTTAGCAGGCCTTGCTAAACCATACATAATTTTTCTATAAGTTGAAAAAAAAAATAAACTAACGTTACAATGTAATGTGAATTCTTCAGATATAATTATGGAAATTTTACTTAATTTAAATTATCATATATTTTATTTAATAAGAATATAGTAGAGCCTCGGATGGAGATAACTTTTTCTTATTCTTATAACATATATTAAAACATCAGTTTTTACAATAATCAAATAATCTTTTTCATGTAATAATAATAATCAAAATAGCTATTTCGGAATTAATATGTTAGTAGAAAATCTTTACATTATATGAATACAACGATAAAATTGTCCTTTGGAAAAAATAAACGATGAATTTTTTTTTTTAAATGGGTAATAAATTCTTTGTATTATATTATATGAGTTTTAAATAAAATTATTTTGACAAAAAAAATATTGGCATCACTGGGGTATAAAAATTTATTTGGTGACGTCACAAATTTCCCACCAAAGTTCTACTTTCAGCCTCATCGTGGCAGGGGAGTGGCAACGTCCTTTGTAGGCTAATGGAGGTCTAAAAGGTTCCCTGTGGTCTGGGTCTAGAATTGGATCACCGTCTCCTCGACGGTAAAAACTACCTAAAGTGGTTGATGTCAGGGGCATTCGATTGTAAAAACCTTGCCGCAAAATTTCCTAATGATAACTCAGAGGGAAAACTGTCCAACCAGGAAATCGCCATTAAATGGAGGTGTTGTCACAAATTTAGTACCACAAAAAAGGGTCATTTTTATGAAATATTCTTTAAAATTAAATCATTCATGATGGCATACAGAGCATTATTTTTAAAAAATTGTGCCATGCATCTCGATAACTTTCTTAAATTAAGTACTTGATTAAATTTCGATGCTAATTAAATTGGTGAGTTTTGTATCTTCAAAATCTCTAATATCTAATCTATATTTAAAAAAAATTAAACTCTATTCTTCCCCTCTGCTAACGTATTACTTTTAAGATATTTTTCCCTCAAGTAGATAATTAAGAATGTGAGAGGATGTAGAAAGATTAAAAAGATGCGAATGAATAAACAATACTCTGGGTAAGGTAAATAAAGGTATAAAAAAAGTTGGTCACATGCTAAAGATTTAAAGTGTGCGTTTAGTTTAATGATTACGATATAAAAAAAAACATTTATTTACCAAAAATGATCAATTGAAGAGATTTGAGTTAATGTTAAAAAAAAAATCTTTTAAAATTTGGTCATATATGCTATGAGGGTGATGTGTTTTCTAATATGCTACTAACATTTATATATTATAAATATTCCAACACGTATAGAATAAATTAACAATTTTCCATAAAAATTTCACTTTCTGAGCATTTCAAAAAAAATATTATTAAATTGAGATATTTGTCTAATATCCATGTTTTTTTTACTGGGATTCTGTTTACCCAGGATTCAGTAAAATGGTGAGGAAAAAAATTAACTGGGTTAAAAAAAATTTAAGTGAGATTCGTATGTTTTTTTCTAATCTATTTAATCATCTACAGGCCTCTTGTTAAATAATTTTATTTTAAAATAAATCAGATATCTTATACTGTTTAAGAAAAAATAACTTTTTTTTAACAAATATAAAATTCTTTATCAAAAATAATTTGAGCAACTAAATAAACGAAATTATAAATTAAAATACTATAAAATGACTATGATTAAATAATTTATAATATAATGCATCCAAAATAACTATATATTATTAAAATAAAATTTTTTGGATAATCTTGAAATAAATTCACACATCAATTTGTTGCCAGATATTGATTCGAAACTGAGAGAAATAACTTCATTGACTTTTGTCAACATAGTCAAAATATCATATTCATGTGAGTGATGTGCTAATACCTTTACAAAAGTTCTAATAAACCAAGTACCCAAAAACTCATTTCCACAAGACATGAAGCCAGGTAGGGTTGCATAAATAAAAAGCATATCCATACCACCAGGATATTTACTGGTTGTAAAGCTTTCCTCCTCTATCTCTATTTTTGAATCAGCATAATCACCTTTAAGCATGTCCTTATATAATTCAGTATGAAAGAGTCCATTTCTTTCATTCTCTGCTCTGCAAGTCTGCAAAATAAAAATTTTTGGTTTACCCATTAGTAATGGACACCTTTTGCCATCAAATAAGGATGCAATATAATCTAATGTTAATAATTCTCCATCTGTTCCATATATTTTATTATTTATCCCATGACTTAATATTGTGACTATGCAAGAAGATGTATGATTCATATATTTTGAAAATTGATCAAGTTCCTCCCGCATTTTTGATATATTTAGGTTATTTTTAACTATAACAGTATAACCTAATTTTTCAAAGAGATTTAGTAAATTTAAGCAATCATTTACTGTTCCTTTTCTCTGAACCATATTTGTATTCACTTCAAAATGTTCATTATTAATTATAAAGGCTAATCCTTTATGTTTAACTCTCATATTGTACATATCATCATCTAATAACACTTCTGAACTTTTTAAGGTTAAATCTAATATTGCTCTTTCTTTTTCTATATAAAATAATAATGAATTGAATTTAGTTGTAGTAAGTTTAGTTTGACTTATCATTAACTGATCTTCACGAGGACATAAAATATTTGCAAGGCTATGTTGTCCAGTGATAAATAATGCATCGATTAAACATTTAAATGCCAAAGGACCACGTTTCTGAATGTCCAAAACAAATTGAAATTTTTGCTGAAAAGGTGATTTACCATGATAAATATTCTCAATCATATGCTTACTAAATATTTTTGAAGCCAAAAGAATTGACAATACAGATTCAAGTTTGATATGCTTAATTATATTTAAGGCATTCTCTGTAATAATATTCTTATGTCCTATGTCCATAAAAATATACTGAAAGCATATAATGCCGTTTTGATAAATAAAATATTTTGAACATTATTTTCATATGATGAGGATGACATACTGGTTATATGTTACATGTGTCGATCATATATGACTGGTGAAAACCAAGTAATATATTATTACTTTTTCTGAGAGTTTTTTTGATTTATAAAATCTAAAACCACTATTTAGAAAAAATTTTTCAAAATAAAATGATTAAAAATCTACATACCCCACCAAGAAGTTGCGTGAGGATAAATAAATTTTTAATGACCGTCCCCAGCTTCTCATTTTTGCTGGTAGTCCACTTTTGCCCGGTCTTTGGTATGATATCCTTATTATATATAGAAAATATTTTTATGAAATAGGAAGTTAATTTTTCTTAAGACTTGCCTTTGACTTATATTTCATTTCTTAAATAATATTTTTGATTTATAACTTTTTTATATATAAATTCTTTATTCCAAAAAAAAATATGAATTATAGTCATTAGCTTTAGATTGAATAATTATTAACTTTTACATTCTTTCTTTTAAATTATTTAAGAAATATGCATAGTTTATACATTTTTGGAGGATAGGGGGAGAGAATTAACTTATACAAACTGTTGTAATAGTTAGTGTTTATTATTATAAATTTTATTATCTATTATACTAAAACTTTTGAAACTAACTATAAATGCACAGGTTTACTCAATCTTTAATATATACATTCAGCCAATGACATATTATTATTATATGTTATTGCATTCAGCAGATTGTTAATCAAATGGAATCGATTGCGAAAATAATATTTATGATTGATGCTATAGAAGTTAGGTAGTTAACCGCATTCAATTCATAATGAATAAATATTATTTTACAATATATACCTGCATTCAGTGTCTACATGATAGGATAAATTTTCCTATTAATCTTACACCATTTTAATACTGGTACTCCTTTCATTAATTTTTCTACTACCAACTATCAAAATATTGTGACTATAAAAGAGTTATTTTTATGATCATAAATTCAATTAAAAACTCCTTTCATTTACAATGAATGAATTATCATAGCATATTGCTTGGCATGAATATAAGTTTGCTGAGAATGTCTAACCAGAGTTTTATTTGGAAAATAATATCTATAATTGTTTGCAATATTTGGTCGATGATTAGCAATATCATTGTATTATAATATGTCTATAGTATAAGTAATAAATTTTAAAGAAATATTTTTTGTCCTATTTCATCTAAAAAATTAATAGATAACCTCCCAATAAATTTATCCTACCCCTCGTGCCTACCCCATACCCCCTCAATAAAAATTGGATGCAAATTGTTGACGCTGTATCTAGGTTATGTTTTGATACAATCATTGATGGCTTAATGAAATGAGTGTAGGAGGGGCATCGAACTCCCACTAACAAGGATCAAGTCATCCTAAATATAATATTATCCTTTTCATCAATATCGATATTACTAATATTTGATAAATTATTCTCATGCGATTATATCATATCTTTGTCGTCATTATCTTCATGCTAAATTAGAAGCTCGATCAACTTAACCATATTGGATGCATTATCAGTAATTACGATATACGTTGATATCTATGTTGTGAGTCCAAAATAACTCTTTTGATATTTCTGAATATGCTTTTCTGCAAATTCTCTCTTTCATATTGATCGCAATTGTATTCTCCCATCAGATATGAATTAAATATTGACGCCTAAAATAGCTCTGTCATACCTTGTTGCAATATTTAATTTTATAGAAATCATTTTATCGAAGATTTCTTCTTTTTATATTAGCAAGGCATTCTGGTCATTTTATTAATAGTATTCGGCATATTTTCTGAATTTATAGAAAAATTATCTCCAAGTCCTATAATAATTGTGTTGATAATTTTTTTTTAAGTTAAATCATCGAATAAGCTAAATGGCCGGTCATGTACAGTAATAGGTTCTGTGCAAGAATTTACTAACGTGTTTTTATCCATTTTAATCTTGATTTTATGGGATTTAATGCCTACTCAAATAAATATGGAGCAATCAATCCTCGCCCTAGTTTAAAAGATTAAATTGTTGGATAATATAATTCAGAGACATGGATTTATTCCTTGTGATTTTACTAATTTCTACAATTATGATATAATATTGGAGTTGGGATATTACGGACAACTGATTTATTAGGTATTTCTCAAATAATTGATTTGTAGTAATAATTATAAGATTAACTCCTTTATGTTCTCAAGAGGTACCATTAGAGGAACAACATGAATGATTCGATAAAAGTTCAGAATACATATATCATATTCTTATAGAATTAAATGGATACAAAATAAATTAAATTGGAGTAATTCAAAAAAATCAACATAATTTCTTATTATTTAAAGATGATATTTAATCTTGATTTAATTGTTTGGCCTTTAATAATTTAAAATCTTTGTTTTTTTACCCCCTTTTTATTGTATATTTATTAGTTATTTCACTGTAATGAATTTCATAGTAGCTGTAATTGATTTTGTTCGTCAAATCTTATCATTTGGCTAATTCGTTAAATAGTGTTAGTCTATAGTATAGTAATAAATTATTCTAATGTTTTTATTGTTTCTTTTTAGCTTTCCCCTTTTTCTGGTGGTAGGCTCCTTCAATATCTCTCTCCATTTTATGTTATTCATGTTATCTCTTTTATCTAATTTACATTTGGTTTTATTGGACAAGTATCCTAGCACCCTGCTGTCCAAGCCTGTCGGTGACCGGGGTGGCCTTTCTAAGCTCAGAAATTAATCTTATCACATGTCTTTATACATCTGTCATCGAAGAAAAACCAGGAAATATCACAGTTCCTTATCAGGATTGAACCTGACACTTTCGGCTTCCAAGCATATATCATAAACCCCACTAGGGCCACCCCGGCGACATTAAATTATTCTAATAATGAATGTATAAGCAAAAAAAGGATCAAGGTTTGCTTTTCAATTCCTTCGACCTTTGAGGGAATTTCTTACCCACATAAATAAAAACAAAAAAAAACTCTTCCTTATCTAAAAATAGCGTATGAAATAATTCAATTGATAATTCGCGGAAAATTAATCGTATCTATTACAAAATATTCAAAATAAACATTTTTCGAAGTCATGACATTAATCGGCGGCCATGAATGGAATGATAAAAAAAATTGGATCTTTTAGATCAGTTTTTAACAGGAACCTAAATTATTTTTATTTTTCTGTCAGGATATAATAAAATATAAAAATGCCAATAAAAAATATAATCGGATAAGAGCGGGAATAAAACTGAGACCGATTTTAGGGCAACTCATTAACCCGGAGTATTACGGATCTGGGGCAGGTTCGGTCCCCTCTTAGGGATATCGGTTTCGATTAAGTTCTTGTTATCAAAATTTCCATTAAAATAAAAAAAATTTAAATCCTTGAACCTAATTCGTATCCCTGGATAAGAGGTGGTCAGCATATTTTAAAAAAAATTAATTGCGATAATATAATAGATATAAGGAAAACAATTTTTTTAATTTGTATTTAAAAAAAAAATTAAAATTAAGTAGAGGCTATATAATAAAATAAATGATTTAATTTTATAAAAATAAAATTCTATTAAAAATATCATAAATTATAAGTTTTACCTTGGTAAACACAATTCTAATCAATTTAAAAAAAAAGGTTATTATTAAATAAGTAGAATTATTTTTAAAAAAAAAGTATATAAATAGGTAAAATTTCTTGCATATGCATTGTGAAACATAATTAATTTATTTCAAATCTTTCATTATTAATCATCGCTAATTGAAGAAGGAAAAAATATGTTAGCTTCTTATTTAATAATATTCTTATTGGCAACATTATATATTCACAAAGGTAACTCTCTTAAAAAAAACATTAAATAATTTTGAAAATATTCGGATTAGAGATCTGAAAAGTAGGCCCGGCCTGTCCCCGGTCCGAGCCAGGCCTGTCCTCAAAGGACTTAGGGCCCGTCCTATTTTTTAAAAAAAAATTTGGTTCGGGCTGGGTGCTTTGGAATTTTTTTTTAAAAAAATATATCTTAAATTTATCAATTTTAATGTTGAATTTTTTTTTATATGTAAAATAAATAATATTTGATTTTATTTATAGAAACTAGACACCATATAACATTAATATCTTTTATTTTGAGTAATTAAAAAAAATTTTATTAATCTATTTAAATAAATTAGGGCCGGGCCGGGCCGGGCCGGGCCGGTAAATTATATTTTAAAAAAATTTCGGGCCGGGTCGGGCTCGAATAATTAGGCCCGATTCAAATCACTACTTCGGATTAAATGGGTTGTTTTAAAAATGCAAAATAAAAAATTTTATCTGCTTAACAGATCTTTTTGTTAGATAAACCTTTAAAATATTTCGGCCCCTAAGAAAAAATGATTTATAATATGTTAAATAAAATATATTGTCTTTTAAAAGCTTAAAAAACGTGTGGCTATTTTTACAATAATTTTATTTGCCCCCCTCTTACAAACTTTTCGTAAAATTAAATTTTTCCTACTTTATTTTATCGTAAAAATTTCAGTTTTTTACTATATTTACTTAGAAACTCTGTAAGTAATTTTTTTTTTCCTATCTTTCGTTCACTCAACAAATAGTGCACTGGTATTTGTCGAAATATAGGCAGTAATTACATGATATATTAATTGTTGTATCCTGTTGATATATAATTGACGTTTATGGACGTTTGTCAATTGATTTGGAATAAGAGATATATAACATGTCACATGATAACAATTCTAAAAAAAAATGAACAAATATAAAAAAAATATGTTATATTATCTCTCATTCGAAATCAATTGAAAAACGTCCATAAATGTCAATTACATATCACCAGATGCAACATTAATAATCTAAATTCATAAAAAGGATTGATATAAATGCATAATTTTACTGTTATTATAAAGATAGGTTCGAAAAACAAAAATAAAATTGATATCAATTTTTTCCTCTTTCAATGCATTTTTGGGTCCGGCCTATCTGTTGTAAACCGCGAG